AAATTAAGTTGCCATTGCACCTGTTTTGCTTTATTAATACCCTCTACTTCTATCAATTTTGTAAAAAATGCTAATATCATTCATTTTATTGCCAAATAGTATTTCATTTGTATATATACCACATTTTCCTTATCCACTCTTTTTTTCATGGGTGCCTAGACTAATTCCATAGCTTAGTCATTGTGAGTGGTGCAGCAACATTCATAAGTGTATTAGGTGTCTCTTTGATATGCCAACTTAATTTCCTTCTGGAATATTTGCTCCAAAGTGAGATACCTGGAACAAATGGTAGATCTACTGTAGTTTGTTGAGAAGTTTCTCTACTAGTCTCCATAGTGGGTGTACTAATTTACATTCTCACTAACATTCCATAACAATTCCCTTTTCTCTACATCTGCACGTACATTTGCTGTTTTTTGCCTTATTGATGATAGGATGAGATCTCTTATTGTGTGCTTGATTTTTATTTCCCTGACACTTAATAATGTTGAATTTTTTATAGACTTTCTACAATTTGAACCTCTTTGAGAAAAATCTGATCACATTCTTTCCCACTTTGGAACTGGATTGTTTTTTGTCATTGAGACTTATTTTTTTAACTTTTACAAAAACCTTATTGAGAATTTCATACAAGTATATAAGGTGTTTTGAGACTTTTTAAAGTTCCTTCCTTATATAGTCTATATATTAGTCTGTCAGATGAATTAGCTGGCAAAATTTTTCTCAGATTCTATAGGTTGCCTTTTCATTGTGGTCATTGTTTCTTTAGCTGACAGAACTTTTTTTGTTCAATGTAGTAGGATTTCTCTATTTTTGCTTTTGTTTCCTGTGCTTTGAAAGTAAAGCTCTTAATGAATGTACAAAAATCGTATTTCGTCGTTGATGGTAGCTTAAGATACAGGGAGGTCTTCGAGCAGGCCTCACAGACAGCATATTTGCTCTGTGGGACCATTTAGGTAGGAGAACAGCTAAACCCATTCAGGCTGTACGATCAACTGTCCTTGCTGGCTGTTTGGTGTTGTAACTGTTCTAACACAACATATATGGAAAGTCAAAAAGGTTTGACTGTTATTTACAAAATCAAGAAATGATGGAGATGAAAATATTCTCTAATTTGATTGTTGCACAATGTACACAAATGTGTCAGATTATTGTATTGTACCCCCATAAATATGTACAACTAAAAATAATAGTAATAGCCATGCATAGTGGCACAAGCCTAAAATCCCACCTAATCAGATGGCTGAGGCAAGAGAATTGCAAATTCAAGGCCTGCCTGGCCTACTGAGCAAGTTCAAGGGTAGCCTGGGCAAGTTACTGAGACCTGTCTGAAAATTTAAAAATATTAAAAGAACTGTGTATATAGATGAGTGGTACAGTGCTTTCCTAGCATGCCCAAGGCCATGCATTCAATCCCTGTTAATATATATATATATATATATATATATATGGAGGATTATTGTCTTAATCTGATTTGTTTTCTTTGCTTCAGAAAGATTTGATTCAGGGCTGGAGAGATGGCTCAATGATTATGAGCACTGGCTGCTCTTGCAGAGGACCTGGGTTTGATTCCCAGCATCTAACATGGCAGCTAACAACTGTCCATAACTCCAGTTCCAGGAGATCCAACATCCTCTTCTGACCTCCACTGGCATTGCACAACACAAGTACACTTACATACATTCAGGCAATATACTCATACATATAAAATAAAAATAATAAAATATTTATTAAAAAAGATTTGATTCAAAACATTTGTGTTTTTTCTCCCTTCCCCTCTTCTCTTAGAATAATATAGCTGACCCAGAAGAGCTGTTCACAAAATTAGAGCGCATTGGAAAAGGCTCATTTGGAGAAGTTTTCAAAGGAATCGATAACCGTACTCAGCAAGTGGTTGCGATTAAAATCATTGACCTTGAGGAAGCCGAGGATGAAATAGAAGACATCCAGCAAGAAATAACTGTTTTGAGTCAGTGCGACAGCTCATATGTAACAAAATACTATGGGTCATATTTAAAGGTAATGTGCATGCCATATTATTTCACAAGGTATTTTTATTAGGTTTTGCTTTTTATTCTATTTTTGAAAGGCAATGTCTTAAGTTGGGAACTGGCATACTTTGCCTTCCAGGCAGAATCCAGTTCCATTTATGGTGTCAATTAAACTGTCGTTAGATTTAGCAACTTTATCTTGAATGCACCCCAGTGCTCAGCTCCACTCTTTTCCATAGCTAAACACTTGGTGAAATGGAAGAATCCAAATGTTACTGGTTGTTAATATATTCTTTGTCAGATAAAAGCAATACCCTGCATTTCCACACACTCTTCTCAATAGCCCAGTTTGTCTCAACCTTGGAATTGAGGGAGTATGTATGTCACTTGGGTCACTGAGTTATGATATTTATATACATATTTCTTTCTCGCCATGTTGTGAGCTCCTTGTTGACAAGCTGTTTATCTTAACCAGTCTTAGATTTTATATCACATAGTACAGCATATGGCTCATATTAAGCACATGATAAATACATTTGACCTTTACCATCCCCAATTGATTGGGTCCTCCTCCCACAATACTAAAATCTGTATGATCAAATCCTTTACATAAAATGGTGTAATATTTGCAGAGAAACTTTGGAACCCGTCGAGAAAGACGTGTTCCAACCTAACATGATATTCCAAGTGTATTCATTTAACCAGAATGATTCACAGGTGGATTCTCTAATAAATAAAACTTTTTTCTTGTTTTCAAAAAAACTAAAGTTTGTTTCCAACCTAGAATGAACCAAATTGTTATGGCAGTGACTGGGATCTGAGCTGTGGTTGGGTACATTGCCCAGGTGGAGTGGATCAACTCTATAGCTCCACCTTAAAGATGGCAGGGTACAGTCCATAGCACGGGCATGTATAGAAAAGACCTAGGCTCTCTTCAGATGGGAGCCCTGGTTTACTGTGGTGGTGACTGGACTGGCTGAGATACAGTGAACACACTGCTGCCATCAAGACAGTTCAGACTCCACAGCACTCGCTGTCCTTCAGTGACCACTGGGCTGGTGTGTGGAGCATGGGCACACACAGAGAAACCTTAGTTCCAGACACGTGTGAGCCAGCAGTCTGAATCAATGACTGTGGTAGTCAAGTGTAGGTGGATGCAAAACAGCTACAGAACCTGGGACTGGACTGTGGACCCTCAAGGGGCAGCAGTTAATCCAAGGACCAGGAGCTGTCATGGGTTGGGAGAGTGGAGGCTCCTTTCCCCAGTGCCTCAACAGCATCTGATTCATGAGGGAGGATTGTATTGCTTTGCTACCCAGTATGAGAAGACTGGATGTTGATCATCTCAGGGGTACCCAATGTCCATATCTTCTGAAACTGCCCACTGGGAACTATAATGGTTCCTAGTGCACGGTGTTGCCGATAGCCTCCGCCTTTCTTTGTTCCTAGCCATCTTTGAGCTTCACGGGTATGCCAGTTTCACCGCTGATTCAATCTGTGGGGATCCTGCGCCTTTTCCCCCACTGTGTTGCTGAAGCTAGGGCTCAGGAGCCCTTCTATGGTTATTTTGGTTTGTGAATATGTGTCCTCCCTTTCTCTGTCTCTCTCTGTCTCTCTGTCTCTCTCTGTCTCTCTGTCTCTCTCTCTCTCTCTCTCTGATGAAAACTAGTATCTTCTATGCCTCCATCTTGGTGATCTAGCTGCCATTGCTTTCTCGATCTTTATATAATTTCTGTTAGTTAATGCTTATTTAGAAAAATCATCAATTTCACTGCTTTTTCTTGGAAAGCTGACTTTTTTGTGATATTAAATGAGATGAACAGAAAAAAGAATTTACTGTAGAATGATCCATTAAACAGCCAGACAATGTGCTACACAACATATGCTGTAGCTACAGAAATGAACACTCCTTCCACAAAAGAGCACACAGTCCAGTATTGCAGAAAATGGTACAGATTTTACAAATACAGTTTATACAAGTTACAAAAAGAATGGGCTGCTGAGGGCCGCTCATTGATGGAGAGCTTGCCTGGCTAGCAAGTTTATCCCACTGGCTTCCATCCTCAGTACTGCGAAAAAATCAAACAGAAGCTACATATGAATAAGCGTAATAAACAAGTATTTACTTGTATCCTTTTCGTCAAGAGTAATAGGAAGAAATGGCCTCCTGGAAGAGGTGATGTGGCTGGTAATTCCTGGGTAATTTCAACATTTGCTTCTAGGTATTAGCTATTACTATATTTTATTATAATTCTTGGTTCTTTGGAGCATAATCATGTTTTCATATTCATGCCTGAAATAACTAATTCAGCAGGCCGTTTTCTTTTATAGAAATCTTCTGAGTGATTTTCAGTCTCAGTCCGTTTAGGTTCCCTCCCTAACTCCCACAGCAGTCCCGGGAATTTTCTCTTCCTATGTGTTTGTCTTCATTTTGGTTTGCTCTTCCTGGATTAAATACTAGTAATTCCAGATGCACTCTGGAGCAAACCTGAACCCTTACTATTTTTAGGCACCTACATCAGATAAACTATTTTTGATGACTTAAAATATTAAACAAACCCTATTTAAAAATGAGTTTTCTATATTTTTTTTAAATCAGTAATCATATGGTGTTGAACATTTTAGTAGTTGCTTTGAGTCTTTGTGTATTCCTAGAAATCTCGTGGAAAATTAGTTTCTCAAACTGCATCTGTGTGCTGTTTTTATTTGTAAGGTATCATATTTTAAAAATATTCCTTCAAACATAGCCAAATAGTATACTTATGTTAGTCATCCAGTAACTACTTAATCTTTAAATAAATACAAATTAATTTTTTATTTTGTCTCCCAAATTGATGGTAGAATGTATTCAGACAAGTCCATAGTGCAGAACTACTCTCTAAGATGTTTCTTCAAGGATAAAACTGAAATATTTAATCTCCTTTACCAATCACTGATAGAAGCCTTGGAAAATACTTTTTTGAGACAGGGTCTCCCTGTAGTCCCAGTGGCCTAGAACAGTCTATGTAGACCAGGCTGGCCTCAATCTCACAGACATCTGCCTGCCTCTACCTCCTGAGTGCTGGGATTAAAGGTGTGTGCCACTACACCTGAAAAGATTATTCTGAAAAATGTTTTGCTTCATGATAAAATTGTATAAATTCACAATTATAGATAAATGTATACACAGAAAACTGAAAAATATCCTGATTTTATAATATTATATTACTGATTTTGAATCACTTCCTTTTGTAGTCTCTCTCTCTCTCTCTCTCACTGTGCGTGTGTGTGTGTGTGTGTGTGTGTGTGTGTGCGCACGCGTGCCTGTGATAAGAATGAAACCCAGAGCCTTCTACATGGTTTGCAAGCACTAGTACTGAGTTAAATCCTAGTCCTAAATGTATAGTCCAGGGTGGCCTTGAACTCATAATCCTCCTTCCTTACTGTGTACAGCTTGTTGCTAACTGTGGTAGGTTGAGTCAATCATTTTCTGACATTAACCAGCTCATTATTTTCCATTTATATCAAATCTTAGTGTGATTTCACAAGCTGGCTTTTTTCTAAACAAAAATCACATGAAATATAACAGGGTTCTGTTTAAATCAGGCAACATAGTTCAAGGCTGAATCCTGTTAATACCATCAAGCTATGGCATTGTCAATTGATATACATACCTATGGGTGGCCCATCCTGGTATTTCAGATGGCAATGGATTTTGTGAGTTAGGTTGATTGAGCAGTGTAGGATATGGGTGTTTCTCAGGTTCCTTTACACAGGATATCATACAGAACCAAGACCTCACTATAAGCTGGAGTAAAAGGGTATTGTGTTTGAGAGAAAATTATATATTCTCTAAAACTGTGTGCAGTCGTAGTGATTTCCTTTAGACATGCAAAAATGTACTAGGTATTCATTTTGACTGAGCTCACTGTGTAACTTCGTTTTTAAAAACAAGAGTAAGAAACCAGGCAAACACATCGGTGTGACCACAGTGTTTTCCTTTCATTTTAGTTCACTGCAGATTTTCTTGACAAAGTTAGTCCTTATGAAGAGTGCGAAAGTAAGCAAACTCTTCTCTTCTGATCTTATAATAGCGGAAGAATCTTTATTAATCTTTAAATATTTTGTTAGTTCAATGTAAATCTTAAAATGAAGCTCACTTGGTTAAGAATAGAATTTGAATCATGCCTTTATTTGCTTCTGAAATTGCCTTTAGATTTCTGTTTATGTTAGGGAAACATGGCTCCACCCCGCACATGAATATATACCACAACAACCAGTATTTGTTTAAAAACTTGAATGACTGAAATAAAATATTCCAGAATAAAAATCTACAGTTTAGTGGCCTTCTAATTTTCACCCAATCTTTGCATGTGCCTACGTGTGTAGTATGTTTAGTATTCTGGAATATGCTTTTATTTGAAAATGAGTTTGATGTTTTCTTATAGAACCTAAAGGACATTTTTTCTCCTTTCTAAAATGTTTTCTTTCTCAAAATAAAAATAGCTTTAGACTTAGCATGATCCATTTCTAAGAAGCCCCATACTTCAACAAATACGCATTTATTGAATGCCTACTATGTGTGCACTTTTCTCATTCTGCATAATTTGCCTGGTCAGTCTCATCTATTTATATTCTTACAACTTCTAAATTCATGTCTCTGGCTCCAACCTCTCTCCTCAGGTATGTTATTTGAACTTGTCTCATATTACCTACTTATATTGAGATACATCAAATGCAGTAACACTAGAACTGTGGAGGTAGTGTTTGCACTAGGTCTTGAGTATGAGTATGATTTTGGTGGGCATTGTTTATGGACAAGGCATTCCCAATTGGGACAAAACAGTGAACAGGTAAAAGTGCCTAGCTATATTCTTCATATGTTTATCGCTAGCTTCCCCTGTAATTCTGTAGTCATTTGCGCTACATTTTAAAATTGTGATTAGCGTGTTTAAGTGTACAGTTTTTGGCATTAAATACAGTCATACTGTTGTTCAACCATCACCACCATCCATTTCCAGGATGTCTTTACCAACTGAAACTCTGTACCAGTGAACAATAACCCCGTATTTTGGTCTTCCTTGCCACCCACCATCCTCATTCCTATTTCTATGAACTTGACTACTCTAGGTACCTTAAACAATGGAATAAAAGGACATTTATCCTTTTCTTCTGACTTATTTTGATTATCCATGCAAGTGTATGTGGGCAGTGAGATGGCTATTGGATTTATAGACCAACAACTTGAGTCAATATGTATATAGTACAAACAATCCACTTCCATATATATAAATGAAATATATATATAGTGGGTATCTTAAGTACTTTTTGTATTAACAAATGAATTATAACTTTATAGTACAATTTCCCCCCACTTTGGCCAAGTGTCCGCTTTAGTAGCAAATAATTAGGAGCCATAGACTTCAAGGGATAACAGTTGATGCTTCAGACACTGTGATTTGATGACACTAAATTCTTCTCAGTAAATAGTACAACTCTCAAGTATTTATTTTATTTGCATTTATTTAGTTAGTTAGTGTGAGTGTATATGTATGTGTATGCATGGGTGTCATGGTGATCAGTTGGAGGGCAGAGGGTAAGCTGCAGGAGTCAGTTATGTCCTTCTACCATTGTGGGTCCTGGGGATCGAACTCAGGTCCTCAGGCTTGGAAACAAGCACCTTTATCCACTGAGTCGTCTCACTGGCCTCAGAGTTTATAGGTTCTGAATTCTTTATGGGTTCTGAATTTGAGGCTAGCCATTGACTCGACAAATAGATGTTAAAATTTCTCCTTCAAACCATTGTTGGAATGTGTGGATTCTTTTTTTAAGTGAAGTAGAGATTTTTCTACAAAGACTTCCTCTTCTTCCGTGTGCTGAGTTTATGGTTATGGTTTAGAGTCATACAGCTCTTTTGGAATTGTAAACCAGTATGTAGATACCATCTTAGCATTTTAAATTGTTTAAACAGCAAACCAAACACACTTTTATGCATTTGGCAACACCAAAGTCATTTTATCAGAAATAGAAAGTAGAAGCTTTCTGACCCCAAAATAATGTCTACACTGTTTGGGTTTCATTTATTTGTGATTGGTATTCTAATAGAGCCTTTGAGGCCTGCTGTGGAGAACGCACTGGCATGACGAATTTCTGTGGGTTCTCTCAGGCCTTTTATGCTCAGGCCCGCTAAGCAGGCATCTGAATGCCCAGAACACACTGTCCTGTGAGGTTTGTCTCTAGAAATGGAGACCTCTAAAGGAGGCAGCCAGAAAGACCTATGGAGTCTACTACTTGTCTCAAAGTTTCACTGAGCAACTTGCTTACTGGCAGGAAGTCTTATTTTCAGATGTAGAAATTACTTAATTGTGACTTTAACACCTCAGCAGTATGTACTGCTTTGTAAGGCCTCAGCTCAAGCTCTCCATGCATCCATTTGGGTGGCAGTTGGTAAGTTTCCATTTTAAAGCAGTACAAACAAAAAGGTACACAGTGATTTTTAACGTGAAAAATAAGTGCTTTCATTCAAGCTGAACAGCAAAACAGAAACGTATTCTATATGGCATTTTTCTTTTAAATGTTAGGTGTACGGGAAGTTCTTTGAGTTAATGTGGTAGATATACTACTTAATAAGAATGAATTTATGGCAAAAGAAAAAAATCTTTTTTAAAAAAATTTAATAATTTAGCTGAGCTATCCCTTCCCAGTTCTTAACTCTAAGACACATACAGCTTTCCACTACAATATTCAAGCTTTATTAAAGAATTTCCAAGAACAGCCTTTATAAAAGCTGTCCAAGAACAGGACATAGAACTGTGGCAGACATTAAAATGACAACAAGCAAATAAATAAATAAATAAATAAATAAATAAATAAATAAATATCACTATTTTCCAAGTGGGTCAATGGAATCAAAATGGAAGTCCATCTCTCACAATCACTGCCCGAAAGAGACAACACTTATTGGACACTAATGGAATATAGAAATCGTTTCTGCTACTTCAATATGCAGGAAGTTAAATATGCATGCTTCTTAATTCATAAGTCGTTATAAGACATATTTTTTCTTCTCTTAAAACCATGTATAAATAGGAGCTGGAGAGATGGCTCAGTGGCTAAGACTACTGGCTACTCTTGCAGAGGAACCATGTTCGAATCCCAGCACCACATAGCAGCTAACAACCATCCATAACTCCAGTTCCAGGAGATCCGACACTCTCTTCTGTTCTCCACGGGCACTGCACGACAGGGGTGCACTTACATACATGCAGGCATAACATGAATGCACATAAAAAAAAACCTGTAAAACTTTATCAGGTTCACAGTTGTCAGATTCTGAGTGCCTAATTTCCATACATGAATGAAAGTTATATGAATGATTCCTGGAGCTATTTTTTCCACTCCCCATTATTGTGGGCATTCATTTCTTCTTTCCTTGTGTAAGCATAGGACACTCAGTGCCTGCTTTCCTCATTTCAAGCTCGACTGTTATATCAGGGCAGAATGGGTGTCAAGATCAGTGGACAGAGTAACAAAGTCAAGAGAATGCTTCCTCTTGTATATCCCACATAGAAGCAGCATCAGAAAAGGAGTAACAGGGCTAGGGTTAGGGAGATGGCTCATCAGATAATGGCACATAACATGCAAATGTGAGGACCAGAGTTCGAATCCTCAGAATATACTCAAAAGCTGAATAAGTGCAGCTGGGCTATAATCCCAGCCTGCGGGATGCAGAGACAGGGAATCCCTGAAGCTAACTGGCCAGTCAGACTAGCCCAAATTCCTTGCTTCAATATGAAAGCTGGAAAGCAATTCAGGAAGAAATTCAATGTCATCCTTGGGCCTACACACACATTTGCACTCACATACACAATCACACACACATGAAAATAATGCGTGCATGTATACAGACCACATACACATATGAAAGAAAAGAGTTCCTTTCTGTCTTAAGCTGAGTTGTCCCTCCCCAGTTCGTAACTCTAAGACACATCCCAGCTTTCCACTACAATACCAACTCAACTGATTTTTCAACCTTTTCCATCTCATGAATACTGATTCATATCTCTGGAAGTCATTCCCTACCTTGATAAAGTCCCAGTCCTGTGGAAATTTTAATTTGAACTAAACACTATCCAGTGATTGTAGAGGATGAGGGCTTTCTCTTTTTGAGCTCATCATGAAGTTAATTTTATCTGGAGTTGTCATATTGAAATGCCTACTCCCTTTTTCAGGGAAGGGGGAACAGTATGTTTCCTGGATTCTATATGTGCACAAAAATATCTATTAATTTTAATTCATAAAGTTGTCAAATATATTAAAACAAATGAAAGCCACAAAATGAAATAATGCAAAATTTTAATATACTTGAACTCTAAAATTACATGTAAAAATTTCACATGTAACCACTTACCTCTTTATTTTTTAATGTAACTATAGTTCCTTTGAATATTATCATTCAAGGTAATAATTTAAAGTTTATTTTTCTATGTTTATTTTTCTAGGTTTTATAAAAATTCCTAACAGTTCAATAATTACAAATGATACTTATGTATCACATAGATTTTCAGGAAGACAGTTTCAGAACTTTATTCTTCACTTTGTAATTTTCTATAGAAGAGCAATCTATATTTGAGATTCCAAGTAACCACCTTTAAGCCTATAGTTTATAATCAGCAAGTTACTATGTAAGATTTACTATGTAAGAATTGACATTTTTTTCTAGTATACTATTATGTGCCAAGTATGTAACTATTACATTGTTTTGTCTTTTACAGGGTTCAAAACTATGGATAATAATGGAATACCTGGGTGGCGGCTCAGCACTGGATCTTGTGAGTATTTAAAAATAATTAAATATAACATTACGCACATGCATAAACATACTTTAACTTGTTGCTTACAGTTGATGTAAGCAGTAGGTTTGGGGAAAGCTCAGTCATTAGTCAATATGTTCAACTTTAACTCTTTTCAGGGCTTCTCTGATGGGCACAAATTATATTGTAAGTTTCGGCGTGTTGTTGAGAATCTGAGAATATATAAGAAATGCAAATATTTCAATAAAATAAAGTCTCCAAGCTTGGAGAAGCTGTGTGCCAATCACTGACAGTTTTGAGTATGACTGTTTTGTGCTTAGAGGTTGAAAAATATGTAATTGAGATAAACATCACTCACAGTAATTATGAACCAAAGGTTTGAGTCATTCAACATTTATCTTGATATTCGAACCCTCCAATATGGTGGCATTAGGAGGGAAACCTTTGGAAGATAATTAAGTCATGAGAATGGATCTTTTGGGAATGGCAGTAGTGTCCTTATCAAGTTGATCTCAGGATAAAAGGACCATCTGGAAGTGTGGAAGAGTGCTCTCAGAAGATAGAAGTCTCCTGGTGCCTTGATCTTAGATTTACCTGCCCCAAGAACTGAGAAATCAATGTTTGTTGTTTAAATCAGCCTGCCTATGCTAGTCTGTTAAGGCACCCTGAGGTAACTAGGACTGAATCTGTAGGATCATAACCCAATAGGCCTATGGAGATGGATTTCCACAGAGGTTTACTAACCCCTTGGTATGTCATTTGAAAATGTGATGGCATTTTTGGTTGTTAAAATGACTTAAAAGTGTTACTGCCTATTCAAGTTTGTTTCTCCATTGCTGTGACAAAACACTCTGACCAATATCACCTTGGGGAGGAAAGGGTTTATTTGGCTAACGTTTCCCAGGCCACAGTTCATCAGAGAGCCTAAGGTAGGAACTCAGGGCAGGAACCTGGAGGTAGGAACTGAGTACAGGCCATGGAGGAATACTATTTACTGACTTGCTCCCCAGGCTCATGCTCAGAGTGCTTTCTTATACAATACAGAACAACCTGCCCAGGGGTGGCCACAACCTGCCACAGTGGGCTGGGCCCTCCCACATCACTCAACAATCAAGAAAATACCTCACAGACATGGCCACAGGCCAGTCCAATGGAGGTAATTCCCCAGTTGAGGCTCCCTCTACCCACGTGTGTCAAGTTGGCATCTAAAGCTATCCAGCACACTGCTATTTTTTTGCACTTTATTATTTATCTACTTATCTTGGGAGAGCAAGGAGGCAGTACATATATCATGATGCACATGTGGAAGTCAGAGGACACCTTGTAGAAGCCTGTTCTCTCCTTCTACAATGTGTATTATGGGGGTAGAACTTAGGTCATCAGACTTGGTGACTGACACGTGCCTTCAGCCACTGCTCCATGTTACTGGCCCATTTTACTAGGAAGATATTACAGTGCAAAAATTCAGTAAGATGCCCAAAATTTCTATAAAGACATGTTCACATGCAGAATGCCTCTGAGAAACACTGATTGTTTTCCCTGTATTAGTGTGATTGCTCCAAAGTTGATTTCTCCCACACACACACACTTAGAAATCTTTATTTAAAATGCAATATTAATTACAAGCCACAACTTCTTATAGACTGACCACTAGATGTACATATGGCAGTCTGAGTTTCTACAGCTGATTCTACTCAACTAAGTCTGTGATTATGTACCACACATAGACTCCCTGGCCTTGAGGGTCCTTCGACATAAAGAACTTACCTTAAATTGTTTCCAAGTTCTCTTTCATCTTTAATATTATGAGACATTTTTGGTGTTTTACTTGTTTTGTTTTGTTTTTAAGGCACAGGCTTGCCCACAACACTTAACTCCTCTGCCTTGGCCTCCTGGGTTTTTTAATGTGTGTAAGATGTATGTGTGTGTGTGTGTGTGTGTGTGTGTGTGTGTGTGTTTGTGTTGGCATGCATGTGCCATGGTGCATGAAGAGAGGTCAAAGACAATCTCAGCTGTCATAACCTCTCACTTGTTATGAAACAGAATCTCTCATTGGTCATCATGGCATATGCCAGGTTCAGTGACCCAGGCACTTCTGGACATTTTCTTTTTCTACCTCCCATCTCACTGTAGGTGTGCTGAGATTACAGATGTGGGTTCTGGGGATCAGAACTCTGGTCCTGATGTTCGCACAGCATCCACTTTAAACACTGGGCTGTCTCCCCAGCTCAATTATTTGCGTGCTTCTGCCCTTGCAATTATAATGCCTAATGTTTCTCAGAAAAATAGTTCTGGGTCATCAGGTAAGACTGTAATCCTTATATTTTAAGTGGAAATGATTTTTTCCTAACTGAAAGTGATTATCCTTTTAACTTTTCATACATATATATTGTACATTGAACGTATTCCCCTCCATATCTCCTACCCTCCCTTTTCGTGGCCCTTCTCCTTCCATTAGTCTTCTGTGTTGCCCTAGACAGTTTTACTTCTATTTTCATGTCATATGATTTTTATGTAATTTTTATAAAATCAAGGAACCACAAATGAGAGAAAGGATATGGTATGTGCCCTTCTGAGGTTGGCTTAATCCACTTAATAAGACTATCTCCAGTTGCATTCATTTTTACTGCAAGTAATATAACTTCATTCTTCTTTATTTCTAACAAAAACCTTCCATTGTGTACATATACCATTTTTCTGTATTCATTCCTCTGTTGTTGGACAACTAGGTTGGTTCCACAACCTAGCTGTTGTGAATAGTGCTGCAATAAACATTGATGTGCAAGTAGCTCTATGATATGTTGACCTTGGGGTCCTTTGGGTAAATAACCAGGCCTGGTAGAGCTGGCTCCTATGGAAGATATATTTTCAGTGTTTTGGGAAACTTCCATACTAAATTTCATAGTAGCTGTATCAGCTCACACTGACACCAGCAGTATATAAGGGTTCCTGTTTGTACACACGCTTTAATTTGTTTTCTTAGTGACTCATTCTGACTGGAATTAAGATAAAATCTCAATATACTTCATTTAAAAAGATTTATTTTTATGTGTCTGAGTATTTTGTCTGCATGGATATGCACCATATGTAGGTCTAGTACCTGTAGAAGACAGAAGAGGGTGTTGTACTGGAGCTGGAGATACAGATGGTTGTAAGCTGTTTTGTTGCTAGGAACTAAGCCTGTGTCTTCAGCAAGAGTAACAAGTAGTCTTAACAGCTAAGTCATCTCTATAGCCCCATATCTCAATATAGTTTTGGTTTATATTTCTCTGATGGTTAGTGAGATTGAACATTGGCCATCTGTACTTCTTTTAGGAACTGTCTATTAATTTCATGAGTCCATTTATTGATTGAGTTGTTTGAATATTCCTATTCAGATTTTTTAGTTCTTTGTATATTTTAGAAAGTAATCCTCTGTCAGATGTATAGCTAGCAAAGATGTTTTTCCATTCTATAGGCCATTTCTTTATTCAGTTAACTCTTTCCTTTGTTGTACCAAGACTTTTAATTAGATGAGTCCCCATTTGTCAGTTGCGGGCCTTATTTTTTGAGTGACCAAGTCCTATTTAGAAAGTCCTTGCCAATGCCTATATCTTGAAATACTCCCTGCTTTTCCCTCCAGCAGTTTCATGGTTCTGTGTCTTCCATTAAAGTCTTTGATCTATTTGGATTTGATTTTTTCTGTGTGCACGGTTAGATATAGGGATCTAGTTTCATATTCTTTATGTGTATATCCAGTTTTTCCCAGTACCACTTGTTGAAACGTCTGTCTTTTCTCCAATGTGGTTTTTGGCACGTTTGTAAAAAAATTGGGTTGCTTTAGCTGCATGTGTTTGTATCTAAGTTTTTCATTCTATTCCATCCATTTATGTGTTTGTTTCTGTGCCAGTTCCATGCTATATTTATTACGATATCTCTGTAGTAGCACTTGAAATCAGATACGATGATATCTCCAGCATTATGTTTTTGCTCAGGATTGCTTTGGCCTTATGGGGCCTTTTGTATTTCCATATGAAGTTTAAGATAATTCCATTTCTATGATGAATGGCATTAAAATTTTCATGAGGATTGCATTGGATCTATAGCTTGCCTTTAGTGAGATAGCTATTTTCACAAAATTAATTCTTCCAATGCATAACCATGCCAGGTCTTCCATTTTCTAGTGTTTTCAGTTCCTTTCTTCAATATTTAAAAAAATTCACTGTACATTTCTTTCACTTCCTTGGTTAGGTTTATTTTAAGGCATTTTATGTTTTTGAGGCAATTTTGAATGGTATTATTTCTCTAATTTTGTTCTCAGTGTGTTCATTATTGGTATATATGAAGGGTATTGCTTTTGTATGTTAATTCTATATCCTTCCAAGAAAGTGATTATTTCGAAAAGATCTTTGCCCTGAATTCCAGTGACTTAAAATTTCGGATACTGTTATGACCAGAAAGGGGTCTAAGACACTCACTGCCTTTCCTTTAGGCAGAACCACACTTGAACTATTCCAAAGGAATGGAATTTAAACTTGAAAGAAAGCCTCATTGACTTCTGGGAATTCATTTCAGTTTAATCAGTTGGCCAGTTTGGTAATTCTTCCTTGTGTATAATCTGTAGTTTGAGTTCATTTTTTTTATTTCTCTCTCTTTTCTGCTGATACTTTTTTTTAATGTCATGATCTTTCAAGCATATGGAGTCAGGCTCCATTCTCTTTTTGAACTTAAATGATCTTATTTGATCTTATTTCTGTATTACAGGGTCTTGCAATTTCTCCACTATGCTGCTTCCACACTTAAATACTGAGAGCCCTTTACGAATTTATCAGTTACTTTATCTGGTCCCATAAGGTACTCATGTCTTTTTCATTTTACCAGGACTGGGAAAGCTAGGATCACTAATAACTAAGTTAGTCATTGACCGCTAGCATAATCTCAGCTAACAGGCCTAATCCGTATCCCTTACTAATATGTTGGTCCATTTTATAAAATCTCTGACTAAAACTTATGTTGTTAATCTCATGTTGCCATTCTGATCGTTACCTAATAAAACAAATGGGAATTAACATAAATTCAGTGAATTTATATGAATTAATATGTTGGCAGCACAACATTGGATAGAAGTCTAGTGACTTAGATCTTAATCCTAGTTTGTCTACTGGCTGATTGACTAATTTTGAGCATGTTGGTCTCTTTGTGACTTAATTTCTTCAAATGCTAAATGAAGAAAATGGATTAGAAATGTCTAGTTCTGCTTTTCTAGCTTTAAAAATGTAGTGGTGCTGTGATTTAATGATAGACTTCAGTTAACTAGACTTCAGAAGGATAGAAAATACTGAGAAATTATGTTACTCCCTTTCCAGTATAGTCATGTACAAATGAATTCAATCATCTTAGAAATCTAAGACACAATGTGTTGTGGATTAAGAAGAGAAAACAAGAGAGATGCCAAACATAGTATCTCTTAATTGAAAGTGGCACCTGACTAACTGAATAACATGAGGTTATGACGTTCAGTTTGTGTCAATGCTGTATAGTGTTTGCCTCAAGAGTTTCATTCTTGGAACAGCATTTTTTGCAGAATAGACTTTGACCATATTGCTTATGACTTTATTGAATTTATTATACCCTTTTTTGTGAAAGAATTACAGTATTTTACACAGACATATAGTCAGATAAATAGGATAAAGTATGAGCACCAGGGAAAATAATTGGAAACAGCATGCTACTTATTAAAGAAGGCATACTGTAGCATGCTGCCTTAGGGACTGGTGGAAAGTGACAAGAATTTAGGAAAAAGCTATATGCCACAAGTGCATGTCTTTAAAACAGCGTTTGTCCCTCTTTTGTTTATCCTTACTTCAAAACTGGGGCAAATTATATAAGGCAAGTATATTGCCTTAAGGCAGAGGTTTTAACTAGTAGAAACTGTGCAAGGTCTTCAAACATTACAGAGAAATTTCAGTTGTATACTCCAAAGAATGTAGGCCAAAACCTTGACATTATCTTTCCTAAGGTTGTATCTGAAATCTAAAAAAAAAAACCAAAACAAAACCTACGCAAAACAAACAAAAATCCCTCTTATAGTTCATCTGTGCTAGGTTCCTTCTCTTTCCAACATCTTTTGTTTTCCTTTTCTCATCACTACCAGCGTGCCAGGGGAAACATAGGCCACAATGTTGGGACAGTTTGCAATATGGTACTGGGCCAGAAAAATTCACCTGCACCCATATCCATTACTTCCTATCCATTTCTTGGCCACATTTTCCTTCCCAACCCCTTTCATTATCTAGTTGAAATTTTCCTTTGAATTTCCAAAAAAACCTAAAGTACACTAGATAAGCCAACAAATCCTTAAGACCTTCTTTATTGTTTCTACTTACATCTTTTGAATTTTCTATATTAGGTAGTAAAGTGAGTTATCCATTTTACACTTAGAACACCTTATATGGCTCTTGACCAATTTCTTAAATAACCAAGAGTATGCCTCCTCTAGCCCTGCCAATGTTTTACAAACAGGTACTAAATATCAGTCTTAAGTAATACGACTTCAGTTATTTCGTAGTTCCACAGGAATTCATTGCCAACCATCAATAAAATAATGTCTCATTTTCACCTTTAGAATGACGCAAATCACTAACATTTAGACAGAAAAAAATTGATGTGGAAGTTGATAGATTTGAAAGTAAATAGATAATGTTACCTAGGAAAGGAATCTATTGAATTACACACATCCCTGGAGTATACTATATACCCAGACCACAGCTAATACTAAACTGTGAAACCAAAGTACAGGGACTATTTTAAGCTGCTAAATTTCAACATGAAAGTGCCCTTTATTCAGCATAAATATGGCATTCATGGAAAGATGAAAAACACAGGGTGCCAAAGAGCTGTGAATCCCTCCCAGTGTGAGGCAGAGCGGGCAATGTTTGATTCTCACCGCCTCTTCCCTCCTTCCAGCAAACAGAACCAACCATACCTCAGCTCTGACTTTTGATTCCCACCCTTTCCTGTAATAATATTGTACAGTCTACTGTTTGTGCTTTATGAGGTACCAGAATTTTAAAATAACCATTTATTTTAAAGAGAGATTTTTGGATATTCCATTACAAGTTCTTCTCAAACCTAATGATTGCTTTCCTTGTATTCCACTTGGAACTATTGGCTTTGGTACAGGGATGGGGAAAAAGGGAAGTGTGTTACATTTATTTGAAAAATATTATTCTTCATGATTTGAATTTTTTACAATGAAAGTCTGAATAGTTTATTTATTATATTCCTTGCTGAATTTAAATGTTGAGTCTCAAAAAATTTCCTTGCATTATTAAAACATATAAATGCTGACAATTATGTTATAATCCTATTGGATCAAATACTTGCTATGGAACTCTTACAGTGTGTCTGATCTAAAAACCAGTTCAACGTTAATATTTAATAACTTTAATAGAAAATGTCAGAATTCACATAGCATTTCTTTTTGCATTCTCATTCTGCATATTCATTGAACATGATACAGTGTTACGTGAGGACATTTTCATCCAAATATATAAATTATACACTGAGCACACTCACTTTTCCCTCTTCCTGTTATTCCGACTTGTTCCCCAGACAGTTTCTTTACTTCAGTGCCTGATTTCTTTTTTCACATCTGAAAACAACATAGCTAGTTCTATTATTATATACACATGTTTGTTAATTCTTGGATGTAAATTTCAGACTCAAAATTTGGGACTAGTATCCAGGAAAATAAATAATTTATTTGTTTGTTTGTTTTGAAAGCACTGTATCATGTAGCCAAGGCTCTTGCACAGCCCAGACTAGTTTCAAACTTTCTATGTACCCACAGATGAACTTTAAATTCTGTATCCATATATGAAGTACTAGAATGACAGGCATATGCTACTACATGCTATATGTGGGTGGGATAGATCAAACCCAAGGCTTTGCTCATGTTGGGCATCTACTCTACTTACCAAGCTACCTTCCCAGTCTGAAAATTCATCGTTTTAAAAACCTATTCAGCTATTTGACATAATTCCTTTACTATCTTCCCTCCCTTTTCATTTTATTTCCTCATTTGTCCAAATATTGCTTTAAAAAGCCGTTTCATATATCTAAGTGAGTCCCATGTTTCAGACATCAATTTTCAACTTGACTTTTACAAACTTTTAAAAGCCTGTGAATGTGCATGTGTTTTCTCCTTAAGCTGCGTGCTGGTCCATTTGATGAGTTCCAGATTGCCACCATGCTGAAGGAGATTTTGAAAGGTCTGGACTATCTACATTCAGAAAAGAAAATTCATCGAGACATTAAAGGTATACAAAAGTTTCATACAAATTTGAGAAAAAAAAAGATGCATTTGGGGGAAACTGAGAGATATTCATTTTTTTTATTTGCCTCCTAGCTGCCAATGTCTTGCTTTCAGAACAAGGAGATGTTAAACTTGCTGACTTTGGAGTTGCTGGCCAGCTGACAGATACACAAATTAAAAGAAACACCTTTGTGGGAACTCCATTTTGGATGGCTCCTGAAGTTATTCAGCAGTCAGCTTATGACTCTAAAGTAAAGTATTACCTATACAAACTGAATAAATTTAATATGGCATGCTATCCTAGTTAATAAGCTTTTTGATTTTTTTCTTCCTTTGCCTGTGCTTAAAGAAAACTTACATCATATTTTGCTTCTTAATCATAAATCCCCCTCATATTGGCAGTATTTGGGCCCTGTTATTTTCACTGGTTTTTCATCCCACTTGGAATAAAATTTAAGAGTCCTTACAGTGATCTATAAGGCTCCATATGATCTGGCCATTGTCTCTCCAGCTTCATCTAACACTGACATCTGTAACTCTCTCTGCTTCATCCACAGTAACCTCATTGTTCATTAAACAAGTACCTTCTGACCATAGGACCTTTTTTCTTATCTTTCCCTTTGTCTGGAATAGCCTTCTTCTCAATTAGGTCTTTTCTTAAAAAACATCCCCTGCACAGAGATGGCTTTCCTAACCATCCTGCATAAACTTGGAGCCCCTTTCCCCCTCTTTATTCATCATTCCCTTATTTTGCTTTATTATTTTCCTCTACAGCTTAGGATCATCTGGCATGATGTTGCTTCTTTATCCATCCCTCTTTCTAGAATGTAAGCCCCTCTGAGCAAGGATTTATGTCTGGCTTATTTAGCACTCAGATGCTTGTTACAAAGTATGCAATTTAAATTTTAATTAGTTAATTCCATTAATAAAAATACTACTGTACTCCACATTTCATAAGAGACTTTAATACTACATGACCATTACCTCTTACACAGGTTTTTTTTTTTTTTTGGCTGTATCTTTGAATGGAGTTTCAAGGTGATGTACATTTGTTGTTGTTGCTTCTCTTACTTTTAGGCTGACATTTGGTCTTTGGGAATTACTGCTATTGAACTTGCCAAGGGAGAGCCACCTAATTCTGACATGCATCCAATGAGAGTTCTGTTTCTTATTCCAAAAAACAATCCTCCAACTCTTGTTGGAGACTTTACTAAGTCTTTCAAGGAGTTTATTGATGCTTGCTTGAATAAAGATCCATCGTTTGTAAGTATACGTTGTATTACCACTATTTATTTTCTATTATTACATCTACTTATAACAAAGGTAGCTTTTCCTGCAGTGGAGAATACAATGCCTATGAAAATGATCTGAGATTCATCTAGAAGGCTGGTTTTTCCTTCTTAATTCCTAATTCCGTTCAGTTCTTAATCAGATCCTTGGTCCCCTTCTTCTCAGTCCCCAGCTACTTGATTATTTCCTATTTGAAGAAGAAAATTTTGAGAAATACAATTCATTTTATATTATTTAATTATGAAAGTACACATGTACCTATTTATAATGATTTCAATGTAATATTTTAATTAATTCTTTGAGAATTTCATTTAGTGTATTTTGATCATATTCATCATAATGATTTAACTGCGTTTTCATTTTTCTTGAGTATTGTGTTTGTGTCTAACAATTTTTGTTTATTGTTTAAAAACTCCAGCTTTAAGTTGCAGACTTTTGCTGGTTTAGTGAGCTCCTCTTATTTAGTTGGTAAATTTTATTATAGTTCTTTAACTGGTGTTAAAATAAAGCTGCTTTGTGACTCCTGGATACTAGAAATATAAAGGAACTGTATAAAATTGATACAGCCTTTTATGGTAATAATAAACATTCTAATATTAATAGCATGCTGAAAGGAACATATTCTTCACAGCAGCTGGTATTTACATTTATATACAATAGAAATTGATATTTTATAGAAAAGGGTATATGAAGATATGGACAGACAAATTTAGGGGGTCATAAGATACATGCAGATGATATCAAAATTACAGTCTTCCTTGTTTCCATGATGTTCTAGTTTGCCTTCAATTGCTGTGACAAAATACCCTGACCAATACCAACTTGGGGAGGAAAGGGTTTATTTGTCTTACATCTCCCAGGTCGCACGCAGTTCATCAGGGAGCCCAAGGTAGGAACTCACGGCAGGAACCCAGAGGCAGGAGCTAGAGCACAGGCCATGGAGGAAAGCTGCTTACTGGCTTGCTTCCCCGCCCCTGCTCAGCCTGCTTTCTTATGCATTATAGAACAACCTGCCCAGGGGTGGTACTGCCAACAGTGGGCTGGGCCTTCCCACATCACTCAAAAATCAAGAAAAAAACCCTCACAGACATGGCCACAGGCCAGTCCAATGGAGGCAATTCCCCAATTGAGGCTCCCTCTACCAAGGTGTGTCAAGTTGACAACTAAAGCTATTTAACACACATGGTTTCTTAAATTTACAGTAAAAGTAATAAAAGTGTTCTAAAGTGTTGCTTTGAAATGTTTTTGAATGTTTACTTTCTAACTCCTAATATTTTTGTACAGGCTTTACCTGCAACTATGCTGATAGGTATCTTGCCTCCTGTCTTTTGAGCTTTAACAAATTCAGATGCCAGAATAGTGAATTTAATACGGTTACCTTGAGCCACTTCAAAAATAGAATTGTGTGCTTTCCTATTGCATTTTAATTGTCCTCGTGTCTATAGGCATGGTTTTACAGATTTCAGTTTTATAATTTGAATATTTTTCCCACCTATGGCAATCATAAAGAGTTTGAAAAGAGTTATCCATTCTTCATTTTTTTGTCTTAGCGTCCTACAGCTAAAGAACTTCTGAAACACAAATTCATTGTAAAAAATTCAAAGAAGACTTCTTATCTGACTGAACTGATTGATCGTTTTAAGAGATGGAAAGCTGAAGGACACAGTGATGATGAATCTGATTCCGAGGGCTCTGACTCGTATGTACAAATCATTGAAATTTTTATGTATGTAGCCCATTTTCATGTGCTCTGTCTTTTCGCAGTGATCTAGTGTGCTTGCTCTAGCATAAGCTATAAATCACATTCTGAGGACTCACCTCAGAAACTGTGAAATTCCTTTTCAATCAGCCTGTAGAGTACAATGAATTCGGAAACATGCTTTTCTTTGGAAGTGAAAAGCTCTTCTTTTAAATAGTCTTGGTCTAACCCCTAGTGGATACTTGAGTATATTACAAAATTTGGGAGTAAGATTTGAATAAAGGTGTTATTTTAGTTTGCAAGAAGTAACAGGGAATTATACTTTTTCATACTCTGATGGCAACTCTACAGGACGGATATCTTGACTCTTCCTACCTCTCGGCCTTACACCACACTATGATCAGACTGCTCTGTTTAACTATTCATCTGTTTTTTAAAAGTTTTATTCCTTAAAAATTAGGTTTTTTTAATGGCAGTATTTTTGTTAATAGTTCTAAGTACCTATCATAATCTTGAGTAGGAGAGTCTACAGACTTCAGCAAGACTTTCTCTTCCAGTAGGTAGAGTTACACAAAGGCAACAACTGATTTCTTCAGACAATCCTCTCAGGCTCCTGCGTTATGAGAAATTGCCCAACATTGGCAATGGATAAAATATATCAGATGTTTGTGACCAATCTAAGGCTTTACTCCCCATGAAAATTGCTTGATGGAGCTTTAAAACACGAGCCCTGCTGTTAGAAATTGTGATTTGGTCATTGGAGGGTGGCAGTGTTGATATATGCAGGCCACCACACGGGATTCTGATGATCACTTAAAGCCAAGAAACATCGCCTTTCTTGAGTAAAATAGTGAATGCACCTGAAACTGACATCAAATGCCATGTCATACTGTGAATTTTTTAACACTGGGATAATTATCTCTTCAGATTCTTCTTGCATTGATTTGGAGGGTTTCCCCTGCTGAATTACTTAGCAGTTAATAAAGGCATCTTTGGCAATCTCTTTAGGGAATCCACCAGCAGGGAAGATAATACTCATCCTGAATGGAGTTTCACCACTGTGCGAAAGAAGCCTGATCCAAAGAAACTACAGAATGGGGCGGTATGCATATGGAAATAGTCACTTTACTTATTCTTTTATTTAGCATATAAGGCAACAGACTTTATCATATCACTTTCATACATTTGTCATTATACTTTATTTTCATTTAATCACTGCTTCCTCACAAATTTTTTAAAATAAGTTTTTATTGAATTTTTTGTGTATTTCATACACAACATCTTAGTCTCTATACCCTCTTCCCCATTGGCACCTCCCATAGCCCCACCACCACCGGATTTCATGTATCCTGTCATTTGTGTTAAGACCTATCTAGTGAAGTTAGTGTCCCCAGACGTCCCTCAGTGCAAGTTATCACTGGGGTCTAGTCAGCCTATCTAGAGTCACTCCCTTAAAGAAGATCATAGACTTTTAAAATTGTGTGATGAGATTATAATGCACAAAGTTTTGAGAAGTTAATACTGGCATGCCTGTCTACCTCACTATATATGGTATGCTTTGTTTATTATTAATTATGACCTAATTAAGAAAATGGAAAAGATTCAAGTGGCCATTGATATTTTTATATGTATTATAATCCTAGAAGCACAGGGACTGGTCTTATCTTGAGTCTTTTCAAGGGGGGGGATTCAAATTGGTTCACATTTTCTATCAAATAACTGAAAACCATGAGCAAGTATTTTAACTTTTGTGTATAATCTATATTATTTATTCAAAGGAGCAAGATCTTGTGCAAACCTTGAGCTGTTTGTCTATGATAATCACACCTGCATTTGCTGAAGTAAGTCCAGGTTATTTAGCTTCTGATATCTATTTTAAATGGCAGAGTATTTTAAATGTTAAATCTATCACTCTTTTTCAGCTTAAGCAGCAGGATGAGAATAATGCAAGCAGAAACCAGGCGATCGAGGAGCTTGAGAAAAGTATTGCTGTTGCCGAAGCTGCTTGTCCTGGCATCACAGACAAAATGGTGAAGAAATTAATTGAAAAATTTCAAAAGTAAGTTTGAAGTTTATTTTTAAAAATTATGTTGACATTTTGGATAATCCTTTACAATTCAAGTATAATATTCTTTAAAGTAAAATATACTTAAAATCGGTTTTGTTTCTTGCTTATATTAAACACTCTTTTAAAGAGTGTTCATGTATATGTGTGTGATAGACAAATATGCTGTGGGCACATGTATATGGGAGTGAGCTAGCCCACCTATGGGAATGTGTAGGCAAGAAGTCAATCTTGGATATCTATCACTCTCTACCTTAGTTTATGAGACAAGAGTTTCTCATTGCCCTTTCACTTAGACTACCTGGCCAGTGATGCTTTGGGATTTACCTGTCTCCCCTATAGTGCTGAGGTTACAGGGGCTCAGCCACAACTGACTTTTACATGGGTTCTAGGAATCCGAACTCAGGTCCTCATGTGTGAACAGCAAGTACTTTACCCGCTGAGACATCTCCCCATTTCAGTATTAGCTTTTGGAATTATGTTTAGACATGGCAAGGTAGCTTTCCACTAAATGAAATAACCTGGTTTTTTTTTTTCCTTTTTCTTTACTGGGATGACTGTAGACAAAAATATGTTCTTATTTGGGCACACGTAACATTATTTAGGCATATTTTCATTCTTGCCAGTACTCTTGGCATTTGCAGAAACATCACTATAATAATTTCCAGTCATAAAGATCCCACATTTGAACCCAAATGAAAAGTTGAGGAAAGGATTTTAGGCAGAGACTCTCCCTCCACACAATTATAAGCCCTTCTGTTTGGCTTAAGTATTAGTTTGATTTTGTTCAAAAAACATGATTTTAAAATTCATTTCTTAAACAAGACTTTCATATGCATACATACATATTCATTCATTAGTGTAAGCAGATTCTACAGTGATGATACAGATTTTAACTTTAAAACCATCATGACTGTTCTCATAGAAACTGTAGATTTCTTTGTATTCATGATGCCAACTGGGCTAAGGTAGCACAAAATACATGGCTTATCAAATCACTCAATTATCTTTCCATGTAATAACACTTACTTGTCTCAGAAGGTAAAGCACTCTTAACATCCTTTATAGTCTAATAGGAAACTACCACCAATTGCAAGTTGTGAAATCAAATGCAAAGGAGACTTTTGAACTTTTTTATGTTTTAACATCTATATGCGATTCAATGGAAAGAATTTATCTCTCTTATTAAATCACTTCATTCATTGTAGATTTCATATGAGAAGTATCAACCGGTATGATTACATATTGATGTAAACTTTTAATTTTATAGGTGTTCTGCAGATGAATCCTCTTAAGAAATTTGTTACTGTCATTGGTTTCTGTTTCATACGGATCCAAAGAATCCCACCAAAGCTATGTCAAGCTTAACAGTGCTTAACTCATGAGCTCCATGTGCCTTTTGGATCTTTGCAACATTGAAGATGTAGAAGAAGCTGTTCAACCATTTTGTGATGGTGGTTATCATTTTGTATTTTACAAAGATTATTTTGTAAGGAATAATTTTAATACTATAGTTTCACCTGTATTGTAGTAAATGTTGAGATACAGTTTTTGATTTTAGGTATCATTGTTTCTTAAGTTACTAGAATGAATACCATTTGGTTTTTAATCTTTAGTTAACTGTACACTCATGAAACATACAGGTATTTGAAAGCTATCCTAAATATTCAACTTTTGTAAATCATCAAGCTCCGAAAAGCATTCTTTTGTTTATGCAAGCATCTTCCAAAAACGGCTGTCTGTAGGGAGGTAGAAATATGTTATGCCCTCTTAAAAGTTTTTTTAAATAAGCTCTTGGAAATAAAACCTAGAAAAGTATTGACTCTTCTACCAAGATATTAGGAATTCCAGGCAGCTCAGTGATTATGACATTTAAGAACCTTTTGTTTGAAGCATTTCCAAGCAACATGTAGCAGCAGAGGTACTTTTGGTGTCTAGCCTCTCTTTCAGATGGAAGAAGCAATTAACCCATATTTAATGTGATTAAACATTTACAGCAACATCATTTAGCCAAGTACGGGGTTTTGGCTATACTGGAGGACTTAGTCTGCCTTCATTCTTTAAACCTTCAGCTCAAATCACATATTATATGTTTGGATTTAGAAAGTGTTAAAAATCCTTATTGTCATGTTATTCAATACCTGATCCACTGGCATGAATATAACTTGACACCAGCATCTTTTTGTCATGACAATACATTGTCTGATAAACTATTTATACATTTTCCTTCCTACTTCTCATTTCATAAGCATGGTGTGTTCATTTTTGAAAAGATATTCAAATGAGCATTTTCTAGCTCATATGAAAATAACCCCTAGTACAGGACAGTTTCTCTTCATGCAAAGGTAAAATGGACTGTACAGTTAATTTTCACTTCTATTTATGGTACTGTTCAGCAGGTGATATTCCTTTTCTTTGAGTCCACTATATCTATTATGCCTGCCTAAGTGCTCAATTGGGGCTGTATTTTTGTAGTTGTAGCATTATTGATATTAATTAGTTTTGACAGTTAAGGTTTTATTTGTATCTGCACAAATCATTTTTTAATACCTGAATAATTGCCAAATAGTAAAAGAAATATGTTGTACAAATGAAGAGTACAGTTTTTGTTGAAATGGCCATTACATTCCATTTTTAAAAATACACTTGAGAAAGTTGAAATATCATAGGCCAAGAAAACGCTTGTCCTTGGTGTCTATACTGTAGCAGATACTTCTGATTAATTGTATTTTGAAGTAATGGCTCAGTTAAATTTTTCATCTGCCTTGTAACTGAAATTCAATTACAGTTTGTTATCCACAGAATTCTACAAATAATTTTGGAATGTGTACGATTGATTAAATTCATATTTTTGTAAAAATAAAAAT